GGAAAGATTGAAGGCAGGAGGAGAACGGGGTGGCAGAGGATGAGATGGTTAGTGAGCATCACCAACTCAGTGGACATGCATCTGGGCCAACTTCAGGAGATAGTGAAGGACAGGGAAGCCTGGTGTGCTGCAGTCCACGGGGTCACAAAGAGCTCGACATAACTTAACCACTGAACAACAAGAACAACAAAGTTCATCATAGCTTTAAATTACCACCAGTCATTTTGTGTGGCTGAGGTCCAAATAGAAGCAGCCTTTGGAAACCTAATAATAGGCTTGTGGAGAGGCTGCATAGCATCTGGACTCTCAGTCAATCCGTCTGATCTCAAATCCTGCGATCTGGGGAGGTTGCCTAACCTCTGAGTGCCTGGGCTTTCTCATCATTAAAAGCAAAGGGGTGAAAACATTCATCTCTTGGGGCCCTTATGAAACTTATATAGATTCACATTTGTCAAGCACTTCGAAGAGTGCCTGACCCATAACAAGCAGCATACTAGAATTTGGTTGGCATGCAAATCTTTGAACCTTCTGGCACCTCATTTTCCTCATTAGTTAAGCAACTTCTAGAAACTTCTCTGCTAGGTACACTTTGAGAATGAATCAGTTGGGTACTCGGCAGGTTTTAGAGGTGACTGCTATCTTCACAGTCAATAGTTAACTACTGTTTGGGGGCTAGCAACAAGAGCTACTACAGAAACAGAGAGAACCTGTGTCAGTATAGTGCTTAGCCAAAGATCATTAATTAAACAACCCGGCCAAACAAAGACAGATGTCCACTGACAGGTGGAATCGGGGTGCTCAGCGGCCTTTGACCTCATCCTGCAGCTCAGCTTCTTTCTGGTTAAGGTTCTCCACTCACAAAAATCCACCAGGCCTCAAATGGGACCTAATTAAACTTAAAAGCTGTTGCACAGCAAAGGAAATCATAAACAAAATGAAAAGATGACATACAGAATGGGAGAAAATATTTACAAATGAAGTAACTGAGAATGGATTCATCTCCAAAATATACAAACAGCTCGTGCAGTTCAAAATTAAAAAAGCAGACAACCTGATCAGAAAATGGGAGGAAGATCTACATAGACATTTCTTCAAAGAAGAGATACAGACGGCTAAGAGGTAAATGAAAAGATGCTGGACATCACTAATAATGAGAGAAATGCAAATCAAAAACTACAATGAGGTAGTACCTCACACTTGGCAGAATGACCATCATCAAAACACCTACAAGCAGTAAATGCTGGAGAGGGTGTAGAGAAAAGGGAACCCTCTTACACTATTGGTGGGAATGTAAATTTGTACAGCCACTGTGGAAAATAGCATGGAGGTTCCTTATATGGGCGTCCCAGGTAGGTCTAGTGGTAAAGAACCTGCCTGCCAATGCAGGAGACATAAGAGACATGGATTTAATCCCTGGATCAGGAAGATCCCCTGGAACAGGGCATGGCAACCCACTCCAGTATTCTTGCCTGGAGAATCCCATGGACAGAGGAGCCTGGCAGGCTACAGTCCCTGGGATCGCAAAGAGTCAGACACAGACTGAAGAGACCTGGTGCACGCACACACCGAGGTTCCTTAAAAAGCTAAAAATAGAGTGATCATATGATCCAGCAATCCCACTCCTGGGCACGTATCTGAGGAAAATCATAATTTGAAAAGATACGTTTACCCCAATGTTCACTGCAGCACTATTTACAATAGCCTACACATGGAAGCAACCTAAATGTCCGTCAATGCAGGAATGGATAAGGAAGATGTGGGACATATATGTACAATGGAATGCTACTCAGCCATAAAAACAGAATGAAATAGTGCCATTTGCATCAACATGGATGGACCTAGAGCTTGTCATACTGAGTGAAGGCAGAGGAAGACAAACGTCATGTTATTCTGCTTATATGTGGAATCAAAACAATAGTACAAATGAACCTACAACAAAACAGAAATAGAGTCACAGCTATAGAAGACAAACTTATGATCACTAAAGGGGAAAGTGGGGGGCGGAGGAGGGGGAAGATACAATGGGAGCCTGGGATTGACATACACACTAATATGTATAAAACAGATGACAAACAAGGACATACTTTATAGCAAAGGGAACTCAACGTTCAATATTCTGCAGTGACCTCTGTGGGAAAATAATCTGAAGAAGAGTGGACCTATGTATATGTTTAACTGAGTCACTTGGCTGTACAGCAGAAACTAGAAATTGTAAATCAACAATACTCCAATAAAAAATGCATTTCAAAAAACCCACCAGGCTTCACCAGCTGTCTGCACAACTGGCTTAACCATCAATATCCTTGCCAATCTCAAGCAACTTGCCAGCCTTTAAGAAACCAAAATTGGAATTTATCAAACACAAGGGGAGGCAGTTAGGGACTTTGCCAAATAGCCATCATGGAATTCTTTTATAAAGCATTTTTGCATCATTTTACAACTAGCACTTTTCGTATTGCAAAAGAAAACATGTTCTATATAGAAATTCTAGAAACTAAAGATAAATCAAAATTTAAAAGATAAAAATATTCTCTAACCATACAGGGCCACAAAAAGTGCTGTTAATGTCAGTGTATGATCCGCTAGCAATATACTTTTGTCACACATGTACACATTTTAAAATTTATATGAATGAAGTCAGAAGGTACCTATTAGTTTGTAACCCGCTCTCATGGGTAAGTACAGATTTTTAACAACCTGATTTTTAACTCCTAATATTCCACTGTAGCTGTAACTTATCCCACTGATCCCTCATTGTTGCCCAATTAGATGGTTTTCTGTTTTTACAATTACCAACAACGCTTGAGTATATTGTAACTATCACCTCATCCAAATTATTATTATTATTTTTAAGGACCAAATTTCTTGAGGTGAAGTTTCTGGGTCCAACAACATGCAAACATTTCAGGGATCTGATTCATAATCCTACTTTGCCCCTTAGGAAGCATTAGATTCATTCTCAGAAATACACTTGGGGCCAAAAAAGAACATTACATCTATTTTTTTAAAAGTTTTTTAGGAGAAGGAAATGGCAACCCACTCCAGTATTATTGCCTGGAAAATTCCATGGACACAGGAGCCTGGTGGGTTACAAACCATGGGGCCACACAACAGAGCACGCACGTCTCTGGAGGGAGATGGGTTGGCAGCAATAAACAGGAAGAAATTTTAAAAAAGGATTTCTAGATATTTAAATATTTTGTTGATTCCAAGGGTGAATGCTGTTTCCCTGCCACCCTAACAGACAACACGACGCATGTGCACCCTAGCCCGCGTGGGCCCCATGTTGCTGCATCTGCCAGAAGACTATGGTCCTTGGCCCATCTTGAGCCTACAAGTGCATCTCTCTTGCCTTTGCTCCTCTCTCTCCAGTGATTCTCAATGGGAGCTGCACTGTCCTCTCTGGCTCACAGTGGGCATCTCTGTGGGTGAGGGTTTGCTGTGACAACGATGTGGGGGTACCCTTGAACTTAGACTGCTGACACCCTGTGCAATGGCAACGTTGTCTACTTCTCACATGACTTTCAAATGTTCCTCTGGACATTTATGTAGGTGGAATCTGCATCTAAAACCTGCATGCAATAGCTGGACTTAGATCCTATCACCATTCCACAGAAAAATAAAATAGCTTTTGAATGAACTTTCCAGGAATACAAAAGTATCTAGTAAGTAAATTTGAGGGCTGTGTTGATAACTTGCTTTTTTCCAGGTTGTTCATGAGTTGTTTACCACTGCAGAAAAAGTCCTATCACCAGCGGCAATGCTGCTAGTGGTATTCAAGCCCCTGATTTAACACCCCACTTTGGTCTATACCCGCAGGTGCCACAGTCACAGCGATCAGGAGCAAACATCCAACCACTCCGTCGTGACTCTAACGGAGTTGCTCAAGCATACATAGTTTATAACATACTGTTCTGATTTCTTGGTTGTATTATAGTCTTTAAAAAAAATCTAAAAATTACGTGTGAAGTTAGGTATTATTACCTGTGAATTACACTTAAGGATTCTAGAGAGGATGCTTAAAAAACAGTTGTTGTAAAAAGCTGGCAATGATAGGCTTGAGAGCAACTTGCTGGCGTCCCCTAGTGGCGTACTCGAGCAATGCTTCACAGCCAGCGGCTCCTTGAAAAGCTTTTGACTTTTGGCTCCAAAATGTGGTTAAGGAAATGATCCCTTTCTTATCCCCACCCCCGACCCGCCCAGACTCAAACAGGGCTGGTTCCTGTTAGTGAGCTGGTGCCTGAGCAGGCGGGATAGAGCGGAAAGTGGGGAGGCGGGGGGGACAGTCAGACGCAAGGGAAAGAATGCCAACCCCCAAATGTTCCAGGCATTTGTTCGTACCTAGAAAATTTCAGCATGTCACATCTCCTTATTTTTTCTGTCTTACCTGCTGGTGTCTCCCAGCTGTCTTACTCCATTAATGGCAGAGTCCCAACGTGTACTTTCGACTCCTGCTTTTCTCAAACCAGTGGTCCTTTAATTCAATGTCCCAGCCTCCCTCCTTGGACTTGCCCCAAGGGCTTCACAGCCGGGACTTCTGGGCGGGGCTGACTCGGAGTCTCCCAGGTGATGCTGACGCGGCTTGATGGGGGAGAAGTTCAAACACTTTAAATCCTTGTCTATGTGAGCTGTATTCAGCCGTCTCACGTTATGAGACCACGACGCTCTGAGCAGTTTCCAAAGTGCCTGGATTTCAAGGACGTTGGCGCTTTTCTAAAGGCAACAGAGCACAGTGCAGGACCACCTCACCGAAGGGTCCCCGTGAATCCTTCCCTGGAGGTGGCTCACTCCCCATGGGGAGGCAAGGTCTCCCAAATCTCAGCGTTTCCCCCAAATGAGCCTCCGTGCCTTCAATAGAAGAGTTCACTGGGAAAAGCTATTTGCTCCTTTTGGCAGCTCTGAGGCCTCTGCTCCGAAAGAATAGTGTCTTTTGGCAGCCCAAGTAGGTGTCTTTTCAGAGAGAAGAACTCGAGTCTCAAAGGGCCAGAGTACTTTGGTTTTCATCGTTCTCCTTGGACTGGTTCCTTGTAATCATTTTGAAAATTAAATCCTCCTGCGCTTTCTGGAAAACGAATAAATAAGAGAGAATGAGGAGGAAAAAGAAAGTGGAGGGAAGAAAGAAAGGCAGGGAAAAAAGGGAGCGAGAAGGCAGGGGTCGGTCTAGGTTGGGAGGTCTGGCTGGCAAGGGGAGAAAACGGTGAATTTTTCTGGAGAGAAGAATACTGGAGGAGGGGCAAGGCAGAGGACTTGGAGAGAGCACAGGGCAACCAGACTTCCCTTCCCTTCCCACCAGAGGACGTCATCACCGTGATGTGCCTGGCTCCCTAGGCGGCTGCCCCGCAGCATGGAGGCTGCAGAGGCAGGTGCAGCGGCCCCCAGGCTGGCCCAATGGCGCCACCCCCTGGCACTCACACCCTGGGGTCCTCCTCCCGCACCCTGGCAAGAAGCAGTCATCTGTCACTGCTGAGACAGGGTCATAAAAGCACTAGGCTTTTTCCCATCTGCTGGGTCACACTGGCTCTGGGAGCAGCCAGCTGCCCCCCTAGCACCCTTGCAGGGAGGCCCATGGGGTACCCACAGCCCAGCCGGGGACCTGGGGATGGCTCCTCCTGGCTCACATGACTGCGGCCTGGCCCACAATCTCACCAGAGACCCTGAGCCCCAGTCCCCCAGCTCAGCTGCTTCTGGATTCCTGAGCCACAGGAGGTCTTAAAGGCTTGTTGTGTGGCGCCAAGTTTTGCACTGAGACAGAGTGTGGGCACTGGGCACCCCACTGAGTGAGGCGCGCTCCCACTGATGTGTGCCCACCCTCCCCCTCAGCTGCTTGGCGCGCTCTGACTCACGTCTCCACGGGGCATCTCTTAGGGCAAGGACCACGATTCCCGGGGCCTAAATCGCACGTTTTGGAGTTCGTTCTACGGCAGAGAGATGCTCATCACACTCTTTATGTTGCAGCACAGAGAGAAAGCAGTGCTCCTCGCTCAGCTCCTTGGAATCAACGGGCCTGGCAGCTGTCACACCGACCTGGGCCTCCACAGGAGTGCCAGCCTGCAGCGAAGGCAAGCGGATCAGTCTGTCGTGGCATCCCTGTAGCTCATCTGTGGCACCCCGTTGGGTGCTCTGCACTGGATGATCTTCAGAGGGCTTTGCAAGGCTTTCTCACGCCAGGTTCCTCATCTGGACCACGGAACACAGATGATGGCAGGGACTATCTTTAACCCCTGCCAGAGAGAATACAGAGCTCATATATTTGGCGTACAAGAGAGAAGTTGATTCACTACATACATGCTTGGGGTATCAGGCTTTAATCCTCCCTGGAGCTGACAAAGGCTGGACGATAGCTGGAATCGCAAATCAGTCCTGACATTTTCCAAAAGAATGGCATCTTGGCATTTTGGAGTTAGAGGTAGCTTTAGTAATGGCTAGTTTGGGCCTCTTGTTCACAAATGAAAAAAGGCCGAGCAAGGCCAAGGAATTTGTCTGAGATAACACAGCTAGCTGGTGGCCTAGCTGAGACCAGAACTCAGAATTCCCAACGTTTAGCCTACCTTCCCATGTGTTAAGGCTTTTAATAAAGAGTGAGTAAATAAAGGCATGAAAAAGCCTTTCTGGTTTCCAGGATTTATACTGTCTGCAATTTACTTTCACAGAATCCAATGTAAATGAAGTGGCATAGATGTCTATAAATTAACATCAGTCTTTTCTACCAGAGGGGCAGTCAGTTAACCTCTGATGCACCCTAACCAGGGAGCCATGCTGCAGGTTAGCTCGTTAACATCAGAAGAACCCTGATAGGCATTCCATATTGCAGAGGACCTGCAAATATCCCATCTCCATCTGCACCACAGCTTTTTAGTTCACCCAACAAATATAAGGAAAACTTTTTAATTGGTGAAATGGGTGGTGTTCAAAACATGTGACTGGCTACAAAGATAATGAGGGACTCACTCCTTGCATGCACATTATAGGATAAGCATCTGACAAGTATAGGATAAGCATCTGACAAGTCAGAGGGATAAGAGCTCTGGAATGGTGGTCCATGTTCACCTCTTACGGAGACTCTGTTGTCTCTGCCTTGATTTAACGCTTCAGGGAGAAGCTTGTCGTGGTGCCTGAAAGGACAGAGCAGGCCCTTGGCTGCTTCTAGGCACAGGCTGTAGGGCAGGGTTTGTGCTTGCATGTGAATAAATGATTTTGACAGATTTCTGTCTGCAGCTTCTTTCATTGTAGCATGATAGTGAAGCTGCAGACAAGGAAACTAAGCGTCCTATTTAAACTGTGGAAAGCTGCCACATTTATCCTAACAACCTGGCAATGCTGAAGGCCCATGTTTGTTCATTCATCTAACAGATATGTAGGGAGAGCCTGTGGTACTGGACTGAGGGATACAGAAAACAAACGGAATTCATTGCACATTGTGATGTGGCTTGGGCAAGTTTGCAAAAACTGATATCAAAAGCAACTTGTAGATCTAATCAACAGGTATCCTAAGTTCTTTGGAAAGATTCAGGAGAGCAGAGGTTTCCAATCCTTACAGCTCTTTGGAACTGAAACAATTCTAGAAATTATACAGGAAAAAAAATCTCAGTTATGTGTGAAACTAAGATTTAAGGAGTAGGTAGTTCAGCAGTTCTCAAAGGGCAGTCTCAGATAATTAGCATCAGCATAAACTGGAAAGCTTACTGGAAATGCAAATCCCCACACCCCATCCCAAACCTCCTGAATAAGAAACTCTGGGGATGGGGACATGAAATTTTTGTTTTAAGAAATTCTCCAGGTGATTCAGATGTCTCAGTGGAGGACCACCAGTGTACTTTATAACAAAGAACAATTCCACCAGGTGGAACTCTTTCACAGGAATATAAAACCTTTTTTTGTTTCTGCAACTGCTGGGTAATCCTGCAAGGGACACTTTAACATAAGAAACTGAAAGCACATCTGTTATACAATTGCAGGAAAATTATACTGGGTGGCAGCCTAACCTGAGTAATAAGCAACTTGTTTAGCAATTATGTGGTATTTCCACCCCATGGTGGTCTGGGGTGCCACCTGGTGGAATTATCATGTGAGTGCGGATCACATTTTTTTTTTTTTTTTCCTATTACAGGTTTCCCCCACTATCGGAAAGCAAAGTTCCTGTAAAACATTTTGTAAACAGAAATGGGGTAAAGAACTGTTGGTGGGAATGCAAACTAGTACAGCCGCTATGGAAAACAGTGTGGGGATTTCTTAAAAAACTGGAAATAGAACTGCCATATGATCCAGCAATCCCACTTCTGGGCATACACACCGAGGAAACCAGATCTGAAAGAGACACGTGCACCCCAATGTTCATCGCAGCACTGTTTATCATAGCCAGGACATGGAAGCAACCTAGATGCCCATCAGCAGACGAATGGACAAGGAAGCTGTGGTACATATACACCATGGACTATTACTCAGCCATTAAAAAGAATTCATTTGAATCACTTCTAATGAGATGGATGAAATTGGAGCCCATTATACAGAGCGAAGTAAGCCAGAAAGATAAAGACCATTACAGTATATTAACACATATATATGGAATTTAGAAAGATGGTAACGATAACCTTATATGCAAAACAGAAAAAGAGACACAGATGTATAGAAGAGACTTTTGGGCTCTGTGGGAGAAGGCGAGGGTGGGATGTTTCAAGAGAACAGCATCGAAACATGTATATTATCTAGGGTGAAACAGATCACCAGCCCAGGTTGGATGCATGAGACAAGTGCTCGGACCTGGTGCACTGGGAAGACCCAGAGGGATCGGGTGGAGAGGGAGGTGGGAGGGGGGACCGGGATGGGGAATACATGTATATCCATGGCTGATTCATGTCAATGTATGGCAAAAACCACTACAATATTGTGAAGTAATTAGCCTCCAACTAATAAAAAATTTAAAAAAACAAAAAAAATTTAAAAAAGAAATGGGGTAAAGAGAATCCCAGATTTCTAGAAGTTTCAATAATGCCACCTAACTGTAACAAAAGGCCAACATCATTACAGTCAGTAATGGCTCTTTTTTTTTCTTTTGTGAAAGCAAAAACCCTCTTCAGATTTCTTTTGATTACTGAAAATTAGGTATTCTTTTCAATAGCATCTTTTATGAAAGACCTACTAAGTCTTTCATAAAACACAATGGAGTAATAATAATTTTCAGAAAGCAGGCGATACTTGTAATGAGAAAAACAAGTTCTGTGATAAGAAAAACAGTAATTCCGTTGGGGGACACACTAACCTAAGAAACATAAAGAATCTAACCTGCAATTGCAGGGGAAAAAATCGAGTGACATTCTAACCAGAATAACAAGAAAAACATATCTGTGTACAATTACATGAAAACTCTACCTGGTGACACTCTTAATAAGTAAGAAAAATATGTATTGTTTAGTCACCAAGTCATGTTCAACTCTCTGCAACTATGTAATAAAACCGAGTGGCGGCACTGTAACAAAGAAACAAAAACCACAGATAATCCATTCTGCAGTTACACGAAAATTTCACAAGATAGCACGCTAACATAAGAAATGAAAAAAAAAAGGGGGGGGGGCGGGGAACACTCTGCAATTACATGAAAGTTCCACAAGATGGCATTCTAACATAAGAAATAGAAAACCTTTGCAGTTGTAGTTTCAGGAAATTTGCAGTTGATGGTACTCCCAACACAAGAAATTAGGGGGAAAAAAATGACTAAAAGGAAATATTGTGATAATCAACTTACAAGATTTATTTACTTAGTAAATTACAGTGTAAATTAAACTTGAGCACATATTTTTTTCAAGTGGTTTTGGCAGATCTTAATTATAGTGCTTAACTTTTGCATTTTAATTACTTGTTTGTGTCTTCTTCCCACCATCAGCAGGTCCCCAAGGGCAGAGGACAACTGCCTAACTTTTCTACCACTCCAGAATCTCCTACAGTCGCTGATGCATAATGGGAATTCAGTCAATATTTACTAAATAGTGAAAAGGATGAATAAAACTGTGAGAGGCCAGTGAACAAGGAGGGAAGAAAACACGAATAAAAATCTAGATTATTTGAGCTCTGTTCTCAAGGCTTCTGTATCCTGCAGTTAGACAGGTAGGGTGGAAAGTAGGAGAAAACGCGATTGAGACAGAAATAACAATGTTGTTCATTTTTATGCCTTCCAAAGGTGAGATTTTTAAGTTAGTGCATGCAAAGGTAAGAAAATTCAGCAAAGATTATGTGAAAGAATAAAATGCAGTGAGAAAACTATTTTTAAATAGGCTAACAGCCTATCAAAATGGTTTTGATTTGTGTTTTC